TGCCAACACCTGGTAATTCTCACCAATCTGATGAATGGAAATAGAATCCCATTGTGTATACATGTTTAACACTAAAAAAAGAAGAAACAAACAAAGGAAAAAAAACCAAAGTGAGAGAGGCCTGGTTACAGAATCCTGCAGCAGTGGAGGATACTGCACTCGATGATCCAACTAGTAAGTTACAGTGAGTGTTTTGTGGGGGAGAGGAAAAGGGCTTCCATTTTTCCTTCCTTTGCCCAATTCCTTTCAGAATTCCCTCTGAGCTTTCCCTCAGCTCCAGTGTGAAGCAAAGGAATCAGTTTTAAGCCCATTAATGACCTCCCCCATCACCCCACTTTGCTTCAGGGGAAAATAGGACTCCATTACAGGCAATCACAAGGAGAGCTAGATGGGAAGGTGGGGAGGGAATTCTTCTAGTTTCTTAAGAACTTGCAAAAGGTGAGGTAGGGGCTGGTGCAGTGGCTCAAGGAGTAAGAGCACCTGCCTAGCAAGCATGAGGCCCTGAATTCAAACCCCAGTACTGCCACAAAAAAAAAAAAAAAGAGGTAAGGTAGTTTGGCTCGAAGCTATTACAGCAATCTTGCTAACCAGTTTAGTCTCTGAGAATGAAGCCAACCTAGGGAGATGAAGTGAAAGAAAGCAGGTCCCGATGGCAGCTTTTCAAACTGTGTCAGTATCTGCCTGAAGCTAGGCCTACCCTTGAACTTTTCAGTCCTGTGAGTCAGTAAACTCTCTGCCCAAACAGCTTGAACTCGTCTGTTAACCTGTGAAAAAAGGATCTTGATACAGCAGAGAAGTTACTGAATCTTATTAGGCTGAAATACACAAATAGCTTGTTCAGAAGCATCAGCCAACTGAGGTAGACAGAGGTTTTGCAAGTGGCATTTCTCTCCCTGGTCCTCACAGATATGACACAACTTGCTAGGACATGACAGACCTCCAACCTGCTCTCAGCCACCATGGTCCCTCCCCACAGCTCTTAGAACTTCTAAGAAAACACAGCAGAATCTTCTTCCACCTTCAGCTGTCATTCTAACCCAAAGTCTGCAGCAAAGAGTCCTATGTCAAGGCTCAAACACCTGGATTTTCAGCCAGCCTCAGCTACTCTGCTGTGTAGCCCAGGGCTAGATTCTTGACCTTTCTGGGTCTCAAAACACCATGAAGAAACAAAGGTGGGGAGAATATAAAGGCCATTCACAGAACAAACTAAAAGTAGTGTTTGGCAGGTACACCACAATATTCAATGTGCAACATAAAGTTACTGCTGTTATCAAAAGCAACCAAAGTAGAATATACTTAGCTGAAATCTTTGGGTCAGAAATCCCTGATGTTGTGGTGCCAATTTTTGACAATTTGGCTATCAGGCAGGAAAAGACCAGCATATCAAATTTAGTGTTAAGATGGCAAGTGAAGCCAGAAAACTCAACATGAATGGTTTAGTGAGATAGATATTCTAACTACTCATATCCAGGCAAGAGTCATCTAAGCCAGCAGCCAAGGAGTTACGATTTTTCATCAATGTTGAGCTACCCATGCAATCGCGTCTCAGTGTCTCTGAAATGTGATCAATGGCCCATGAGAATTTAACTGGAAAAATATTTTTTTCACATGAAACATAAACTAAAGGCACATGGAGTATCTGATGGCACTTCAGACTTGGTGAGGTGTGGCCTATCTCCTAAGAGTGTTGCCAAGATTATCTTTCTAACACATTGATCTCATGCTGTTATTCTTGCTGTTATTCTCCTGCTTCAAAACTCTTAGCTGAGGTCAAAACTGTACAGCAGGGCACACAAGCCCCCTCACACAATGTGGCCTCACCCTGCCTAATGCTCCACAGCTAGGTGTAAAGGGAAGACAGCCCCCTCACCTTCCCACTCTCCTCACCTGACTCTCAGGCCCAGCTTAGCCTTGAAGGCCTGAACAGGACTGGTCTCCTTATCTGTGAGGTCCTTCCTGTGTCCCTCCTTCAGTTTGCCCCTGTAGTTCTGAACACCGTATATTTATGATAGCACTATCGCACTGCTTCATAATTGATAAATATGTATCTTGGTGGTACTGGGGTTTGAACTCAGGGTCTCACACTTGTTATGCAGGCACTCTACCATTTGAGCCGCTCCACCAGCTCTGTTTTGTGTTGGGTATTTTTGAGATAGGGTCTCTTGAACAATCTGCCTGGGCCTGGCTTCAAACCACAATCCCCCTGACCTCTGCCTCCTGAGTAGCTAGGATTATAGGCGTGAGCTACCAGTACCTGGCTCCATAATAGGTATTTTTACCTGTCTTCTAACCCAACCAGCATGTAAGCCAAAGGTCATGCCTCACTTGACTTTTACTTCTTTTTTTTTATTTCGAGTATCTGGCCCAAAGTAAAAGTCTGTTGTTAGGTAACTGTTGTTGAAATTAATGTCATCCTCTCAATCAGAACCACTCTACTGTCTCCCCTTCCCTCTCTCCCCACCTTTACCACATTCCCCTTTCCCACTTCACAGACTTGACTCAGCATCAGGTTCTGAGGGTTAGATATTCTTTGCTACAATCACCCAGGTCTCCCTGGGCCTCCTTACACACACACACACACACACACACACACACACACATTTTGCGGGGAATGTCAATAATCCATTTCTACCAAGTTGGCAAGTTCTATTTCATCCTAGATTCCAGCCAAATTAAGCCTCATTTTCCAAAAATAACTTCTTCCCATTTTCCATGTATTTTCTATTCTCATCCTGGGGATCTAAGTTTGAAGTTACCTGAAGAAGTCTCAATTCAGAAGCTATACCTGAAGTTTGCAGTGTCTTCTGTGACGTCTGACCCAGTCTAAGTACTGCCCATTATTCTCCTGTACAAGTGACTATCTCAGAAGTCTCCCACTGCTCTTGGACCTCAATTTCCTTACTTTTTAACAAGAAAATTTTTTGTCAAGTTCATCAGCCGGTCTGAAGCTCAGGAGAGGTCAGTCACATAAGTAAAAATGTTTCTGCTATAGCAAAAAACCACAATTAAAATAGGACCACAGGAGCCAACTTGAAAGAACTCCCAATGGCTAAAACTGCAACAATTTGAGCAAGAAAATAATCTACTACAGAATTATAACCTAAAGTATAAAATATCTATGAAGCCATACTGATACAAACAAATGACTGGATAATTAGGGGAGATGAGACAAATCTCCCATGAAGAAGAATCTCGTGAAATCAAATATGGAGATACTTGTCCTCAGGGGCAGAGAAACATAACTCCCCACTCTTAGGCACGGAATGAACACAGTAACTTCCAAAGAATCCAGTATGCAAAGAGAGAAAAACATAGTGTGTAACTTCACAGTAGAGAAATCTGACAAACACTCTGAGCCAGGTGATCAAGATCAACATCAAGTCATAAATCACAAGAATGGCATGATACCCTAGATAGGATGTGATGAATGTGGCAATCTACTTCTGTGGTTTCCTTTGGATGATCTGTAAGCCCAGTCTCAGGAGGAAAACATGAGACAAATCCTGATAGAGGGCACTCTACAATATAAACATCAACTTGCTACAGTTTGGATGTTAAATATCCCCCAAAAGCACATGTGGTAAAGGTTCACTCCTCACCTTGGTACTATTGGGAGGCAGTGGAAAGTTTAAGAGGTAGAGATTAGTGGGAGGTACTTAAGTCACTGGGAGAGTGCCTTAGAAGAGGACTGTGGGACCCCAGTCAATTCCTTTCTCTCTCTTTAACTTCCTGGGCATATGAGGTGAGTGGTTTTGTTCTGCTATGTGCTTCCCACCATGCTAAGCTGCCTGCCCACAGGCCCAAATGAACAAAGGTCAATCAGTACTGGACTGAAACCTCCAAAACTGTGAGCCAAAGTAAACTTTTTCTTTTTGTAAGTTAATTATCTCAGGTATTTATTGCAATGAAGGAAAGGTGACTAACACACTAATATTCTTCAAAACAGTCAAGGTCATCAAAATAAAGTCAGAGAAATTGCCACAGCCAAGAGGAACGTAAAGAGACATGATAATTAAATGCAATGTGGTAACCTGGGTGGGATCATGCAGGAAAAGTACTTAGGGAAAAAGGAAATTCAAATACACTGTGGGCTTTGGCAGTAATAATGAACCACTGTTGGTTCATTAATTGCAATAAATGTACCAGATTGTTGTAAAATGTCAAAGGAAGAAACAGGTTTGAGCTATATGGGAACTTTGAACTATTTTCTCAATTTTTCTGTAAATCTAAAATCATTCTAAAAAATAAAGTATATTAAAAATAGAAATTTTGGGAACATTAAAGAAAACCTGTTTTTAGAAATGGTGTTTTCTCTTTTTTAACTTGGAGGAAAATATGCTAGGGATTATGACTTCAGCTAACAGTTAAACAGTAGGTTCAGGCATGCATGAACAATTGTCATTCTTCTCTCTTTTGAAACACACACAAATGGTGGTGGTGTCAAAATCTGGAATCTACTGGGAATTTTTAAGAGTCTTCCTCCCATTTACTTCACAAAGTTAAATTTATGCACTTTTTTTTCCCTAAGGCTAAATAGCCAGAAAATGTGGAGGAAAACCAAACAGGTCCAAGTGTAGGTGCCCAAATCGGCTTACTCTGATAAAAATAAGAAAAAATAAAAATGAGAAAAAAGGAAAGGGAACCTGACTTTGGTCGTGCAGCGGGATTGGCCATCTATTCACAACGCTCCAAACCACCAGACCGTCATCCGGGTCCCGCTTACTTCTGGCTCTGGGGACTACGGGGGATCGGAGTCTGAGCTGGACACAGAAAGCGACGAAGACTCACGAGTGAGGGGCGAATGGAGGGCAAAGCAAGCAGCACGGATCCGGCTGGTCAGGAGGACGCAGCGAACTTGCCCCCTCCCCGACCCGCCCCGCCCCGCGGCCTGGCCCGGTTCTGCCCCGGGGCCTGACGGCCTCATTCGCTCGCCCCAACCGTGGGGTGCGTATGAGAGACTGCTGTTTCGCTACCTTTTTCTCGTCAATACCCCCACTCACCAGTCCCGAGCTCCGGGCCGCGAACCCAGCGCCCGAGCCGCTGCTCGCCCGAGCCGCTGCTCTCCCGCGCCGGTCTGTTCCGGGTCTCGTTTCTCCACGAGCAACCAGCGCGACAGCGCGTCCCCGCCCCGTAATCTCCCGGCTCCCCGGAGCCCTCCGCCGAGATTTCTCTCGGGCCAGCCCTGGGATTGGCCCCTGCCGAACTCCGTCCTCCAATGGAAACTTTAGTCTCCTCTACGTCACTGATCACTGGGCAAATCCCCAGGCAGCTGCGGGGGGTGGGGCAGCAGGGCCAGAGAAAAGAAACTGGAATCTGAAGGGGCGGCGGCGGACCCCGGCCGCAGCAGGAGTTTGGCGCATAATGTTGGTGCCCACTTAACGGGCTTTAAGGGAGCCACTTCTGAGGCCTAATTAGGTCCCTGTGTAGAACGGGGGTTCAAGAATCCCCTCCCCACCTTCCGGGACTCGACTTCCGGATTCCCACGCTCTGGATCAGGGTCGTTGGTACTTGGAGGCGAAGTGGCGCTTGCCAGACGCTCAACATTAAATGGCTCTCTGCCCCCAAAGTGGCTTGAATTTGCTCTAGGACAAGACAGGATAATAGGAAGCAAATAGTATCAAGGGGCCTGTTGACAAAAACTAACTACCATTTCCTATGGCAGGCGCCTATGATGCGTAAGGTGCTTTACGAAAAAAATTCTGTAGCGGGCATTGTCCCCATTCGACAGACGAGAAAACTGAGGCTCGGTAGGCTTAGGGCCTGGACCGGACTCAGTGCGGCTGTTTCCGCTCCTCGGCGCTGAATTTAGAAACGGACGGGGACTCGGTTTCCCAGGGTCCTTGGTGGCGCAGTTTTCCAAAGGCTCGGGCGCGTTCCCGCCGCCCATGCCCTGGGGGGCCACCTGCGGGCGTCCAGGTCGCCTGGCCTGCGCTGGCTTCTCCTGCACCGCCGTGCGGCGGTGGCACCGCTGCGTGAAAATCCCCAGTCCTTCAGCCCCTGCGCTGGGCGGGGAAGAGACGACCAAGGCTCTCCCGAGCTGCCAGTCCACTTCTAAGGGTGGTGGGATGAGGCAAAGACGCGGGCTCCGGCATAGTCGGGGTGGGGAAGGTGCCTGACCGAGAGAGCTCAGCGAGCTAACTCTAAATCTGTCACCCTCCACCCCTTCCCCGTTGTGGGGTGCCGGAAATTTGAAGCGAAAACTGAGCGCTGGTGAAGGCGAGGGAGCGCATCTCTGCGGGCTGTGCTCTGGCCGGGGTCTCACCATATCCAAACCCGCCTGCTCCGTTCGCTGGCGTTGCGGGAAGACGGCGGGTTTGAAATGCTCCTTAAATAATGCGCTGTGCTCTCCCGGTCCGCAGAAGGTACCTGCCCCGCCTGCTGGCCGTTCCGTGGGTGCTTCAGCCCTAGCAGCCCATCCCCACCCCAATTAAAATTCTGTCTTCAGGCTGGGGATGGTGTTTCACTCTGTAATCCCAGCTACTCAGGAGACAAAGGCAAGAGGATCGCCGTCCAAGGCTTGAGGGACAAAACACGGAACCCTATCTGAAAAAACATTAGAAACAAAAAAGTACTGGAGCGTGGCTCAAGTAGTAGAGCCCCAAGTTCAAGCCCCAGTATTGCAAATAATAAGCCCCAGTATTGCAAATAATAATAACAAATGTCTCTATGTTCTCAGCACTCTGTTTACTTGTTTGTTATGAGACAGGGTCTCACTATGTAGTCCAGGCTGGCCACCACCTCACAATTTCCTGCCTCAGTCTCCAGAGTGCTGGGGTAACAAGCGTGGTGCTACCACACAGGACTTTCCCAACATTCATAGAGCACATAGAAGTCCTCTTCAGGGCCTAGGGGCCTGACCATATCTCACCAATCCCCTTTTGCCACTTTTCTCTTGGTTCCTGGTCTTGAAATGGCCTGCTGCAGTCCTTTGCACGGCTGCCCTCTTCTTGTCAGTCATGTCTTCTCAATCAGCATTTCAGAAAGGCCTTTCTCCAACGCCCCATCATGCATTATTCTGTGTTGATTTCTTTGTGCAGTTGTCACCATTTGAAAGCATCTTGTTTGTTTCTTTGTCACCATATTTATTTTCCATCCTTCTCCCTCTCAGTGCAAACCCCATGAGAGTTGAGACGTGGTGGATCTTCTGTGCACTGGGCTGTCACTCAGTAAATGAATGTTGAATGAGTGAGCTCAGCTTGGGCTTTCTGAGCTTTTTCTAACGCTGCATGGCCCTGCCTGGTGTGGCTTCAGTTTTGCTCTCCCCTCTTCTACCACATGGATGCAGCTTCTCAAATCTAAATAAAGACAATAGAAATGGACACTGGGAACAAAGGTGGCTCCAAGGCTTGCTTTGTAGTTGAGGCACCTTTGTAGCAGCATGTAGGGATACCCCCCAGCTGCTGACTCTGGCTGCCCGGATGTCCTCAAGACTCTAAGAAGGGAGTTAAGATTCCTGCCTCCTGCTGTCCAGTCCTGTGGTTACAGCAGATGGAGTTCAGGGCGGTGTAGAGGGCTCTTTAGGAGGAACCTAAATTACATGACTTCAATTGTCCTGCCTGTCATGTTCTATGAGACTTTGGGCAAGTTGCCCATCTCTATGTGTCACAGGTTTTTCTCTGTGAAATGGAAATTCTATCTACTTTATGGAGATGTTGTGAGGATTAAAAAACAGTGCTGAGTAGACTCAGGGCTGTAAGCAGTAGAGTAAGTGCTGAGGAGATGGTATATTTACTAGCAATTGAAATGAGAATCTTAAATCAAGTAAGAATTATAGATATATTCTTTGGGCAGTTCAGGTGTTGTTACCTGAGGAAGAACTAGAAACCGCTCTCTAAGAATGAGTTTGCGTATGATGGGGTGCATGAAACAATACCCTAAAATATGGTACCTTAGAAATTGAGAAAACAGCAGAAAGTCCCTCTGAACTTCTCTTGTTTGCTCTCTCCTAGAGTGGGACATAGAAACCAGGATTCCCCTTGTCCTTTTCCTGATGAGGCTGTAAACCTAGGAAGGTGACTCTGACATTCTTCTTCCAAGACCCTCACGTGTCAGGTGTCCTGCCCTATTCCCAGAAGGAAACAATGCCACAAGGAATGCCAAGAAGAAACAGAACAGACCTTGTCAAGTTTCCTCCAGTTTACCCTTTGTCCTCCAGTCGTACTTCTGTATGACTGTCCATGAAAACACACAGATCTGCCCGATTCTTTAGCTCTTCATTTCTGAAGACTCCCATGTCGTGTAAAACTTGGGCTAAATAAATTTTTATATGTTTTCTCTTGTTAATCTGTCTTTTGTTACAAAAGCATTAGCCATGAACCTTGTGATGAGTGAGGAAAAGACATTTCTTTTTTTCTCCTACACATAGTACAAGCTTATTGACTTAAAATATGGTATATAGAATCTCAAGGTTTTAAGAATGCCAGAATGCTTGGAAGGGGCCTCCAGGCAATCAGTGAGTTCCCATTGGTAAAGATGGAAAGAATGTTTGAACTAGGTGAGGGGCTCACACCTGTAATCCTAGCTGCTTGGGAGGCTGAGATCAGGAGGATCATGGTTTGAAGCCAGCCGGGGCAGATAGGCCAAGAGACTCCCATCTCCAAAACAACCAGAACAAAATGGATTGGAGGTGTGACTCAAGTGGTGGAGCTCTTGCTTTGCAAGCTCAAAGCCCCAAGTTCAAACTCCAGTCCCACCAAAAAAGAAAACAAAAAGGAATCTGCTTGAATCTTTCTGTGAAGGACACTCTGGTATTAGGGTCTGAATGAATGAGTGAATGAATGAATGAACAACTGTCTCTAAAAGAAGTTTGTGTAAACTAAACTGAGTTTTAAATCTATATTTTTGTTTTCTAGCAGAGGTTTAAACTACTAAACAACTTTTCTGCTATAAACAACTTACTGCTCTTGTGCTAAGAACCGGCTGCAAGCTAAAAAAAAATGGCAGGTTTAACTGTCCCTTTTAAAAAGAAAAAGGTATTTGAACACTAATAGCATTAACTTCTGGGTTTTGGTCAGAAAGAAAGCATAGGCTGAGCCAATCTTCATATGCCTTTCTCTTTTAAAATACTTTGCATTCCAAATTTAGTGACTATTAAGTAGTTTTTGTTCAAAAGTTAGTGAAAATATATTATAAAAAATGGTAAATTAGCCTTTGACTTTAAAATTTCTAAGAACTTTAAGCCTTGTACAGTGATTTTTCAGTTACTCCAGAATGCAAAATTCAATACTGTCATCTCATATTTTTTAAAATTATTGTGGAAAATTTCAAACCTATACAGAAATAGAAAGAATATTGTGAACCACTTGGCTTCAACAATTATCAACATTTTGTGTTAGATTTTACTGATTGCTATTCCTTTCTCCTGATTTTAAATGTGTAACTGGAGTATTTTAAAAAGAAAATCCTTGGCATATTTTACTTCACCTATAAAATTGCCTTCATATGCTTTTCTTTTCTTTTTTGGCAGTACTGGGTTTTGACATGGCACCTTGAACTTACTAGATGAGCACTCAACCATACTCCCAGCCCTTTTTACTTTATTTTTCAGATAGGATCTCATGGTTTTTGTCTGGCCGGCCTCAGACTATAATCCTTCTATCTACATCTTCTGAGTACCTGGTATTACAGACATATACCACACCATGTTCAACTTGTTCTTCTAAATAGGGTCTTGATAATTTTTTACACAGGCTGGTTCCAACCACAATCCTCCTGTCTCTGCTTCCTAAGTACCTGGGATTACACATGTGAGCTGCAGGGCCCAGCTCCACATGTTTTTATAATAGACAAGGACTTTGCTTACATAACAAAATGTCACTACCATGCCACACAATCTTATTCACATATAATTATTCATGATTTCATTTAATACCCAGTTCATATTCAAATTCCCTGAATCTTATCAAAGAAGTCTTTTTACAGTTTAATTGTCAGAATTAAGATCCAAACAAGGTTCACAGGACTAAGAGAAAAAAAAAACCCAAACTTGGAAACAGGTAAAATGATGACTGTATGTCCTTTCTGTGTGACACTGGAACATTTTCTAATATCTAATTCTTTGGATATCTTTGCTTTGATTTACTATTTTAGGGTAGAATACTCTTTAAGTATAGATGTTGACTTGTAGAAAAGTGATCAATATTGATGTTCAATTTTTTCTGTTATGTTTTGTTTTTCATTCTTTTTGTTTTTCAAGATAGGGACTCCCTATGTAGCCCAAGCTGGCCTTGAGCTCCGAATCTTCCTGCCACAACCTCCTAAGTGCTAGGATGACAGCCCAGCTATGTTCAGTCCTTTGAACTCTGTTCAAACTCATTCTTTTTACTGGTACTTGTGTTAATACAAGGTCAGAGAGACCCCTGGAAAGAGCAAGAGCAGAGCACTCAGAAACCTGACTTTCCTATGGTCTGTGCCCTGTTGTCCTGTGTCGTCTGTAGTTACTTCTGTTCTACAGAGGAGGTGCTCCAGCTCAGGTTTCTGCTACCCATCTAAAGCCATATAAATTAGAGCTCTGCAGAGAGCAGCTGTGGTTTGGGGGTTCTGAA